CGAAGCGACGAGTCCTCGCCGAGACTGCACGGCTATTCGACCCGATGGGCTGGCTTGTACCTGTCGTAATTCGGGCAAAGATCCTGATCCAGACCACATGGCTTCAGCAGCTAGACTGGGACGCTCCACTGCCTGTCAAGGATGTTCAACGTTGGCAACAGCTGCTGAATCAGCTACCTCTGCTCAACAACATACGAGTTAATCGCTGGCTCAGCACCGACAACGATCACTCAAGGCTGCAGCTCCACGGCTTCGCTGACGCTTCCGAACGAGGATACGCCGCAGCGGTTTACCTCCGCAACTCTGAAAAGAGGAAAACATCAACTAATTTGCTCATGGCGAAATCCAAGGTCGCACCCGTCAAGCAAGTCTCACTGCCTCGCCTGGAGTTGTGCGCTGCTGATCTACTCACCACGCTCACGCTGCATGTCCGCGACACGCTCGGCTTGGCGTCTACTCCAGTGTACCTGTGGTCCGATTCCAGGGTCACGCTCCATTGGATCCAGGGACACGCCACCCGCTGGAAAACTTTCGTCGCCAACCGGGTAGCTCATATCCAAACACAGCTCCCGGACGCTCAGTGAAAGCACGTTGCCGGGAAAGACAATCCTGCAGATTGCGCATCAAGAGGAATTACTCCTGGGGAATTAATCAACCACGCATTATGGTGGACAGGACCTACCTGGTTGGCACTGGACGAAACGGCGTGGCCCAACTCAGAGGTCGACATCTCAGAGGACGACCTTCCGGAACAACGCACCACCAGTCTGATAACCAGGAGTTCCGTCATTATCGAACCGGACCTCCTTCTTCGGTTTTCCGCACTTCATCAGCTACTGCGCGTTACGGCTCGGTGTCGTCGATGGCTCAACCTGACGAGCCGGGAGGTCACATCTGGTCGCCCGCTGCATCCTGACGAGCTAGACGCCACTCTACTCCAGTGGCTTCGAGTGGTGCAGGCGCTCCACTTCCCTGACGAGGTAGCTGCTGCCACCGCAGGACGGCCCGGTCCACCACGCAGTTCACTGGTCAAGCTAAACCCATTCCTCGACGACCAAGGTGTGCTTCGCGTCGGAGGACGCCTCAAGCACGCTCTGCTGCCCTACGACGAAAAGCACCCGGTGATCATCCCGCCGGCCTCCTGGATGACGCGACTGCTAATCGAGTCCTGCCATCGTCGGTCTCTGCATAGCGGCGTCCAGATGACTCTCAGCTTACTTCGCCTTCGATTCTGGGTGCCACGTGGAAGGACCGTCGTCAAGCAGCAGTTGCATCGGTGCGTCACTTGCACGCGCTGGCGAGCTGCCACTCCACAACCTCCTATGGGCAACCTTCCTCGTGACCGAGTGACGCCGACTCGACCATTCCTGAGTACTAGCCTGGACTACGCGAAACCCATTTTTATCCGGACCAGCAAGGGGCGCGGACACCGCTCACAGAAGGGATACATCGCAGTCTTCATATGTTTCTGGTCAAAAGCTATCCACCTCGAGGTCGTTTCGGATTACAGCTCCGAGGCTTTCATCGCCACTTTACGCCGCTTCGTCTCTCGTAGAGGTCTGTGCACGGACATCTACAGCGACTGCGGCACAACATTCATTGGCGCAGATCGCACGCTGCGTGAGCTCTTCAAGGCGTCGACCTCCGAGGGCCATCACATCGCCCGCGCCGCCAACACTCAAGGGATCCGCTGGCACTTTAATCCGCCAGCGGCCCCTTACTTCGGTGGTCTTTGGGAGGCTGCCGTAAAATCCACGAAATTTCATCTCCGTCGAGTAATCGGCAAAACTATACTTACGTTTGAGGAGCTTAGTACACTCTTCACGCAAATAGAGGCGTGTCTTAATTCTCGTCCGTTACAGGCTCTGTCAGACGATCCAGACGACACTTCGGCGCTCACACCAGGCCACTTCATCATCGGAGCACCGCTACTCGCGGTACCTGAGCCATCGCTGATGGGTCAATCAACCTCCACGCTGTCACGCTGGCGTCACCTGCAGCTGATGCGAGACCATTTTTGGCAGCGGTGGTCGGCTGAGTATGTGCACGGTCTCAACCCCCGCACCAAATAGTTCAAGGCCGAGTCTGTACCTCACGTCGGGGACCTCTGCATCATCCGCTCGGAGCTCACCCCTCCGACCCGATAGCCTCTCGCGCGGATCATGAGACTGCATCCCGGGGACGACGGTATCGTCCGCGTGGTCTCAGTCCGCACCGTCACATCCGAACTCGTGCGCCCGATCGTCAAATTGGTCATGCTTCCGGGCGCGGATCGTATTCCGGGCATGAATAACGCGGACACGCCGTCCGCCGGCACGTGACTCATCTCTCATCTCGCGACACTCATTCATCACATAATCATCACATGCGCTGTAACATTTGTCGCACCTCATTCTTCTCATCATCACCGCATTGCACTACACACTATTCATTGCACATCAAACACGAGTTTTCACTCTCGCAGCTGATCGCTCCGCACCACACTATCGACTTGAGATTCCGCGGCCGAAATTCGACAACATGTTGTCACTGCGCGACAAGGCGGGCGGGAATGTTCAAAACGCATAAGAAAACATTATCCGCATAATAAAATATTATATTCGAATAGAATACTTTAGAATATTCTAGACCAATCGATATTTTTAGCAAATCGTTTTTGTATGTTTTTCGAGGAGAAAACACCGCGACATAAATCAATCTGTTTCGGAAAAAAACCTCTCAAAATATCAACAATTAACGGTATCACAACCGTTCCGCCGAATAATTATTTTCAATGAGCATGCGCGGCTTATCACGGGCGCCTCGTTTCACCAATAATTATCACGATCGCCCGCTCGCGCATGCTTTCTTCCAGCCGTCGTCCCGTTAATTTTGACAGCGGCCAATTACGCGTAATGCGCTCAGGTCACCTCGCGCAACGTTTGAAATCCGCAAAACTATTGGCGCTTCACGCGAAGGTGGGCTCCATCCTAAAAATTATAAAAGAAGAGCTCACACCCGGCTTACTAGCCTTATCGCTTTTCCGCCGTGAACCGCATAACGCAAACCGCATACTTGTTAAACCGCCAAAAATTCGTTGACAACCGCCGCTTATTCCGCACTTTGATTTTTGATTACGATTTTCACTGTAAAATAATTAACATTTGTAAGAAGTTTGTTAAAGTGTATTTGTCATTAAGTGTGTTAGCGAATTAAATTCTTTTGATACAAAAGTGACTTATCCTTTGTGCCGCGCGACCTTTTCTTACGCAGCGCGTTCGCGAACAATTGAGTTTATACTCCATATACAATACGTATAGCTTTTGGGCCTTTTTTATTTGTATTTAATATTTAATATTACAGAACTTTGATATACTTTTTAGTATTTATACACGTCGGCCGAAAAGGCGTTATTTAGAGTATGTGCAAGCAGAGAAAAATATAAAATCGAGGGGTCTGAATAGCTCAGTTGGAAGAACAGTCGCCCGGCAAGCGAAAGGTCTCGCGCTCGATTTCTGATTCAGCGACTTTCGGATCTATATTTTTCTCTCACGTTTTTTTATTTCTTTAGAAGGGTATAAGATTTTATAAAATTAAATCTCAAGTATGAGATATTTCATGTTATAAAGTCTTGGTAGTACACCAAGAATAATATGTGCCTTGTGGACATTTCGTTTATTTTCAACGAAAAATTAATTTTCGTTGGAAATGTACGCAAGGAACATCCGCGTATGACTCTTAGGCCTTTCTTATTCGTATTTAATATTTAATATTACAGAACCTTGATATACGTCTTATTGTTAGTATAGATAAATATGAATATTAAGTATAAATATAAATATAAATATAAATATAAATATATACATAAATATTATTGCATAAATATAAATAAATCCCCAAATTATTAATAGCAGTCACTAGTATTTAAATAGGAGTTGTAGAAATTAATCAACCAAACTAGCGAGTAAATAATTTATTCATCTTCACGATGTTTTGACCATGTGATTGTGGTCCTTATCGAGTAAAACGAAATGAATTAAATTAAAGTTAACACATTATTATACAAATTTTGTCAGTAACATTTCTTGAAGTTATATAGGAAATTATACAGCTTCAAATTATAAATATAAATATAAAATTTCTAATCTCAAGTCTTTGTAATTTGAAGTATGTTTTCCTAAATGTCTTGTGTTGTAATATATATTAATAGTATCATTGTGTTTATGCATAATATTATCATAATTATACAGTTTAACATTTATTTGCATTAGATGGCTTTGCTCAAGGCGAACATCTAATATCACGATATGAAAAAACTTTATACGTTCAAAGTAGTAGTAAACATGGTGATATTGGTAATTCCGAAAATAAATTTAACAAATTCATCAAAAAACGTACTTATTCAAAAAGTTTATCAAATTGTATCAAAGCCATAGATAATACTTCACGCTTTAATGGTACGATTTTTATCTTTTTTATGTTAGTATTTTATAAATAACTTGTAAATTATATATATATATAAATTATGTGTATTTTTATATGATAAAGGAAGAGAGTCAATAAGGGCGTTTTTGTGCCCCCTCTGGATTTTTATAAAACAATTTTTTTCTCTTCTATGATCATTAGGAATATCAAAAATAATCATTAGGTAAGAAAAAAATTCGATCCATAAAGCCAAAATTAATTATTAGTTTAGGTGTACCACTATGGTATCTAAGCCCTTTTTATGGCTAATAAGTAAACTAATGAAATATTTTCGGTCATTATACTGCTTTGCCATAATATTTATGTCATTTTAAACTATAACATTGCCTCAAGATAAAAGTGAATACAGCTCATGGTAAACATCATGCGTGAAGTTGTTGCATGAGTCGAATGCGGCAACTTCACGCGCGACATAATTCGTTGTCTTTTATCCATATTATTGTTAACCTCTACCAGGATCTTATATTATTACTTTGTTTAATCAATATTTCAATAATTGAAGTTCAATTGTAATCATGTCAAAAAGAATAAGTGATTCAGATAATCTGAGTTCTAAAAAGTTAAAAGTCTCCATAAAAAATCTGTGAGCTCACATAAAAGTTGATTTATCTGCAATCATCCGAAAAATCTGACACGTACTACTCCGGCATTGAAACAAAATGTATTTATAGAAAAGGGTATCTTTATACCTGCTGATGCTAGATGTTGTAATAAACATTTAAAAAGTAGCACTATATTAAAAACGGAGTGCCTGGATTTTATACGAATATCTTCTGATTTTACTTTGATGGATAATGAAAATATATGTAATCTCTTAAATAGTTTGAGATCTGCTGCATAAAAAACCACTTGATTTTAATGATTCCAATGCATTATAAATGATGAAGATTACTATCGTTTAACCGGTGTTACAAAAGATTAATTCCATAAGATATTATTAGAATCAGCAGTAAAAATGCGATGACCGAAAATATTTCATTAGTTTACTTATTAGTTATAAAAAGAGCTTAGATACCATAGTGCTACACCTAAAATAATAATTAATTTTGGATTTATGGATCAAATTTTTTTCTCACCTAATGATTATTTTTCACATTCCTAATAATCATACAAGACAAAAAAATTGTTTTATGAAAATCCAGAGAGAGCACAAAAACGCCCTTATTGACCCTCCTCCTTTTTACTGTTGATAATGACTAACATAAACCTTTCCAATTCTTTATATGTATTTCAATATATATTTTAAAAGTACGTTTTTATTAATATTTTTATAATTATTATTTAACGTATAAAGATTACACGCATTCAGATCTATCAAATAGCGAAGATTACAGTAGTAATATAAATAAGAAAGATTTTCATTTTTCTACCCATGATTCTTTTGAGAACGGTATGATGTAAAAAAATACAATTTTTTATATTATCTCATGTTATATTATAACTTTTATCTTTTAGAACATAGTTAAGAAAGGAAACCAAAATCCAATACAAAAGTAACTATGAGTAAGTAATAAAATGGAAAATAAAATAAAAAGAATATCGAATATAAATTAAAATAAATTAAATATCAAATATTACATTATGGATATTATTATTCGGATAAAAGATTTGAAAACAATATTAAACAATCACAAAAAATTCATACTCGAAATCATGGAAAAGACTATTCAGAAGGAAATAAAAAATGCTAGAAATAGCATTTTATATACTGTTGAAAAAAAATTTGAAGAAATAAAAGCAAACATAACTACAAGATTACACTAACAGGAGAGAGTGAAATAAAATGTTGTTTCTCAGCTTTCGCAAGAAAAAATGTGGTTATTGGACAAAATTAAAAATAAAATGTTTGCATCATCTTATAAAAATAAATTCATTGTATTACCATTGCTGCATAACAAATATGATACAGAAAAATTTATTTTGTAAATTTTAATATATTTATGTGTGATCAATTAAAATTAATATCAATCAAAATTAATATTTGTCGCTAGTGGTGAAAATAAGCTTAAACGACTTGACTACGACGTAACTAGCAATTTTATTTGATTATTTCACGACGTTTCGACCATTTGGTTGTGGTCCTTTTCAAGTGAAATTTCAGCAATTAAACCGAGGTTAACATAACATCACACCGGTGTTATTTGAAATCGAAAGTTAAACGTTAAAAGAGGAACACGTCCCATCGTTATGATGTTAAAAGTTAAAAATTAAAAGAGGAACACGTCCCATCGTTATGATGTTTCGTCAACGACTAAACTTGAAACGCGCCACTAAACAATCTTTATTAATTTGTCGTAAATGTTTGTCAAATTCTCAGTGTCTTTCTGTAGGTTGTAACGTCCAGACAAATTTCAAAATTTCAATCTTTTTCAAAAATTAATTCTTTAACATATTAGTCATGACAATCGCTAACCTACATGAAAGACCGGTATTAACAAATATTTAGTCTCGCATATAATCGCTCATAAGTTAAAAAACATGATTTCTGCCCGCCACTCACTCCCCTTCAATGCCCATGAGTTAGAACCCCCATAGTATACCTACTATTAGAAATTCGTTCCTGATGCAAGTTACCTATCAATTTACATATAACTATGAAATGTAAATGTAAATTGATAAATTTTACCTGTCTATCATGATTATTAAACTCTAACTATAAAATAACAATAGAAGTTACAATTAAGCTTTTCTACCATTTACATGCAAATATGAATATAAACTAAAGCAAATAAGATTATTTTAATCTATAACAAAATTTACGAAGTAATGCATTTTAATTTAAATTGCAAAAGGAATCGACATATTCTAAAGAATAATACCTAAAATATATAGATATCGTTCGTAAAGTAGTAATTAGGTATGAAACCCGCTTTATTATGTGAACTCGGCTTTACTCTCAAGAAACATCTAAAAGATTCTAGAAGGTTCCAGAAAGACGGTTGAGAACCGTTACATTCCAGAAGCATGATGCAAAGCATGATGCAACGCTGAAACACGTTGCAACCTGCAAGGCCCGTGGCAAGCCGCGTAGCGGTGAGTCATCAAAGAAGTACCGCTATCGCTACCAAGAAGAAGATAAGATAAGTCGGAGCGCATAGCCAACAAAGGCATACCGCTATCGCTACCGAGAATAGGATAAGGAAAGTCGGAGCGCCCGGCGATGAGTCATCAAAAGAACGCCGCTATCGCTACTAACAAGGGGAGTGCACGACGTGCCCCTCACCGATTCAAACGAGGATTTTTTTATGTATAGTACCTAATTAGAAACAAGTTCTATTAAAGCGAGAGAACGCGCTTCTCAAGCATTCGTCTGAAAAAAAATGTTGAAGATTTGCCAGCACTTCTTAAGACGTTGCAAAGAAGCATTATCGAAGCGCCCCGGTGGCTTGGTTGGTAGTGTTCTTCTTTTGTAACTGCAAGATCGCTGGATCGAATCTCGCCGTGTGAAACTATTTTTTTTCTTTTATTTTTGTATAATTTATTTTTTTGTTTTTAGGAACATTTTATAACATTAATAAATATTTTTTTAATAATTGACATTTAAAAAATTTTTAACATTTTGTTCCATATATTAAAAAAAAATTCGATTGCTTTATGTCAAAAATATAATATTAGGAAATGTTTAATATTATACGAGAAATATATCACTACTAATAAAATAAATTAGTAAACAATTATCAATAATAATGCGGATAATTTGGTAATATTTTTAATTATTTTTTATTGTACAATTATTAAAAATATTTTAAATTTTCTAGCTCTAGAAATAAAAATATTTCTTAAAAGTTTTATACGTTAAAGCTATATTTTTATTATTATGCTCGGTCTCGGATCACTTTTTGTATATCTGACCTGGAGCAACAATAGCTACGAGTTTCGACCATAAGGGATCAGCCGCTTTGTTGAAGTAAGAGAGGGGAGAATCGTACAGGAGAAGACAGGCAAAGCGTCGGTTTTTGAAATAGTCGACCGTTAGTTACGACAGTACAAGGAAGACGTTATAGACAGTGCCGTGAAAATTTCGAAGATGGAATCAACATCTGATTCTTCGATAAAAAGCGATGTTGAACAAAAAGAATCGCTTGCAGGAAGTAGTAAAGATGAAGAAGTTTTGTTAAACGAGGAATTTGCGAAACTCCAGCTGAAAGATTATTTTAAATTTACTTATTTATTTTATAGTAGTGATATATTTCTCGTATAATATTAAACATTTCCTAATATTATATTTTTGACAGAAAGCAATCGAATTTTTTTTAATATATGGAACAAAATGTTAAAAATTTTTTAAATGTCAATTATTAAAAAAATATTTATTAATGTTATAAAATGTTCCTAAAAACAAAAAAAATAAATTATACAAAAATAAAAGAAAAAAAATAGTTTCACACGGCGAGATTCGATCCAGCGATCTCGCAGTTACAAAAGAAGAACACTACCAACTAAGCCACCGGGGCGCTTCGATAATGCTTCTTTGCAACGTCTTAAGAAGTGCTGGCAAATCTTCAACATTTTTTTTCAGACGAATGCTTGAGAAGCGCGTTCTCTCGCTTTAACAGAACTTGTTTCTAATTAGGTACTATACATAAAAAAATCCTCGTTTGAATCGGTGAGGGGCACGTCGTGCACTCCCCTTGTAAGAAGCCATCTGTCCGGGACTTAACCGTCGCAATCTCTACCAGGAACAGATTGTCTCCGGTACTTCCCCGGCATACCTCTCTTGCCATTGGCTAAGCCGCATCGCCCGATGGGAGGAGCGAGCCACATTTTACGGTATATAAACCCTGCACCCGGCACAGAACGGCAGTGATCCACCGAAAGTTGTTCCAGTCAATCAGTTCTAATCCAGCAATCAACCAGCTATTACTACGGAGTTCTGAAGACAACGAGACATAGCCGCCATTTTGGTGAGGCATAGCCGCCATTTCGGACCGAGGTACCGAGGCTCCTCAGATCTTCAGACTCAGAGGGAAGAACACAGTAGCGAAGTGTACCATAGCAAGGCACATTAGACATTGTCTAACCTTGTGAGTATTTAAGCCAGTTCACATATCCCTAAATAGTAAAGCGCGACGGGCACTCATTATATTTAATCATTATATTTAATTATCCAATATTAACTCAATCTTACATTACATTTCAAACTCTGAATTTTGAACATAGACATAAGCCATATATTACTCTGCGTTTCCGATATTATTTCAATCTACGATTTGCATCTGCACACGTCTGCGTTACAATCGTCGATTTATTCAATATTCTATCCAATACTATTCAATACTATTTAATCAATTTCGCATACTTATTTGATTTATTATAATAAATATACTTATGTATTTTATTGTATTACTGCTTACTTATATATGTATGTAACCCTGTATCCTACCACATATTAGCAAATTGAATGCCGCTAATTCCTCTGTACACATTAGAAACTATATCCTGTCCGAAGGTACATTCGCAAGCCATCTCTGAGGTGCACGTTTAGTAAAGTGAACGTCGCATTAGCCTATTAAGACAAGGACCAGAGAACCCGGCCTAGCCGGATGAACACC